AGTGTTTTTCAACCTAGTTCTCATCATCAGACAGAAAGTATTTTGCATTCAGAAACCATTTCCAGTATCAAATTCAATTTTGTCAAGTGATTAGTTGAGTTTGGTAGAGAATAATTTAAAAACACAAAGCTAGAAATGGCCGTGGTACTTCCACACTTGAGAAGAGCATTTGCTATTCTCAAGTTGCATGCCCTCTTTCAGTGACTGCATCGCACTGGGGATTATTGTGTTACATGTCTTTGCAGCTGGTACAGACCTGCATCTGTTGACACCTTGTGTTCCTACCCTGGACTGCTAGAGAAATAGGATAGTGGGTGAATTGATACCTGCCTATCAGTGCAAACGTCCCTTTATGTACATATGTTTGTAAAGCTCTTTAGCCCCTTTCAAGATGAAAGCCTCTATATAAATATAAGCTTTCGATTTTAGTACATGTTTGTAATACATGTGGTACAGTCCTAAATATGTATTTAGCTGATAGGCACTGTTCTTGTCTATTGTACAAATATTGACTTTAAAAGTATAAATATGTATTTAACCATCAGACCAGAAAAACACTGAAGCAGTTACTTCTCAGGTAGAGACATTAATATTGTATAAACCTATATATACATGTGTTTACATTCTACCACATCATTGCAGAGCATTTCTTTTTAAAAAATGAAATGAGAGCCCCAACAAACTGAGGCAGTTCTTAATATTCTCCCTTTCAGGTGAGTCTTGATTTTTAATTTCCATTTGTTTATATCTCTCTTTCTAACTTTACATAAATATGATCTGGTATAGTATGACTAAAACCTAAAGTCAGTCCTTATAAAATATGAGAAATCCATTAGGCTGGTGAGATTTTCTTCCCCTTTAAACCTTTTTTGTTTTACGGAAATGTTCAAATGTATACTAGAGATAATAATATAAGCTCCCATGTACCTGTCAGCCATGAAGAGGTATTTAATAGTCTTTTCTCAGCCACTTTTTTAATTTATAAATTTTTTAAGTTATCAATGCAATATAAGCACATTAAAGAAAATTTTGAAAATGAAAACAAAAACCTCACAATCTTATCATCCTAAAATAATCACCTCATTTTGCTATGTTTCTTTATTTCTGTTTTGATTTTTTTCCCCAGCATGCTTTTAGATAGTAGTGACACTCACTATGTGCCAGGTACTGTTCTAAGATTTAACATGCCTTTAATCCTCACAACAAACTCAATCCAGTAGGTTATTATTACCCCATTTAACTGATGAGGAAACTGAAGCACATAGGGGTTAGTAACTTACCTAAGATTATGTGGCTAGAAAACTGACTGAATTTCTATTCTGTCAGCCTCAGATTCTGTTAGATTCAGATTTTCGGAATCTGGTGTCTGAGTCTGTGTCCTTAATGCCCCCCACTGTTTTGCCTCTCACAATTGTTATGGTATGCCTTCAAATTGGTTATCCCACTTCTTCAAATTTAGTATTACATCACGGGTATTCTGAAGTGCTGTCCACAGTCTTCATAGCCATCATTTTAGAAGGCTGTACAGAACACTAACAGTGACCTCACTAGCCAATTTACTGCCCTCCAAAAAAATTTTTTATCGTGATATTTATTTTCTTAAACTTATTTTAATATAATGTTAGATTTACAGAATTAAAAAGTTAGTACAGAGTTCCCCTATACCCTTCACCCTGCTTCCCCTAATCTTGACATCATATACAGCCATGGTATAACTATCAAAACTAAGACATTAACATTAGTACAGAACTGTTACATAAAACACAGACTTTGTTTTGTATTTTACCACTTTATGTACTACTGTCCTTCTGCTGTTCCAAGATCCAATCCAGGATACACTGCATTTTAGGTATCACTAAACAATTCATACTAGCTGTAAAGACAAGTTTCTTAATTCCTCTGTGCCTTAGTTTGCTCATGGCAATGGTAACAACTGCCTTTGAATTAATAATAATAACAGCTAATATTTGAGGAATGTTACATGCCAGGCTGTGTACTACTTTAATGTGGTGTTCCTCACAATAATCCCTCCCTAAACTTACTATTATCCCCCATTTTATAGTTAGAAAATGTGAGGCTCTGTGAGGTTAAGTGACTTGTCCAAGATTATCAGCTAGTGTAAAGCCTGAGACCTCAGCTTAACCTCTTAACTACTATCAGTATTTGTCAACATTTAGTATAGCACAGCATTTAATAGTTGTTGAATTAATGGTAGCTTTTATTCTTGTTATTTTTAAAAAATAAAGTAAGTTTACTTGATGTTTAGGACTGTTATTCTAGGATCCCTAGAGATAAGTCATAGACAATGTTCTAAGCCCTTGGTGTTGATTAGTTTACAAGTATCATTTAGAAAATGAGATGACTATGGAACCAGCAAAACATTTATTACTCTAATATTGTGTGTAGGGATCCTGCTAGGCACTTGAAGAGATGATGTAACAGTTCAAGTTGGCAGGCTAAAAGCAGCCCTAGGCAGTACATGATTAATTATCAAATGAAATCTCTACTTGAAGGACTTAGTAGGAGATCAGAGAAGGAAGAGTTCACTTTAGGCTAGGGCAAGCTTTACTGAGGAAATGGAATTTGAATGAACCTTTTTGGAATGGGTAAGATTTGGGTAGATTGAGAAGAGAAAAGGGGGCAAACTTTGAATGTTGAAGTTAAGATAATAGATTTCTGCTTCTAATAGTTTGTTCATCAAACCCATAGGTATTAGTTTCTTAATTTTGTATGTGGGGACATTGAAGCTCAATAAAGTTAACTAATCTTCCTCAGGTTACACAGTTAATAAGTGATAGGACCTGGATGTGGATCCAATTTTTTTGCCTCCAAAGCCCATCTTCACCATTATGTACCATACCATTTGATTAGCAGTGAAATCTAAATTTGAATGTAAATTGAACAACAGATGCTTTCTTAGATGTTTACCCATTGTGTTTACTCAGAACTTAATCCCTTCCAATAAGGAACTCGCTATACTAAGACTGGGATAGCACTGTCCATTCTGTACTGGTACTTTTTAAGGGGGGAGGGAGGCAGTCCATGAGGAACACACTTTGGAAAGACATTGATAAAAAGTTGTGTGTTCTTGGTGCTGCTGTGTTGACACCTAATTAGAAGTCAATATTGTAAGCATAATGACCTGGCCAATTGCTGAACTGACTGCCCAAGTGACACAAAGTCCCCAGGTAATAACAAAAGAGAAGAGTGTTATTTGCCTGCCCAGTGCAACATAGACACAATATTTGCATTAGCATGCAAATGCTGAAGTAGATTCTTCAAGGCTTGTATGTAAGCTGCTTCTGGCCTAGGTGGCTAAGGTTAATATATCATAAAATTTTGTGTAAAACCCAATCTTCCTAACTACAAATGCATTTAGAGGAAATAGCTTTTCCTTCCTGAAAAACAAAAGAGATGTTAGGTTAGAGAGCCACATGAGGAGGCAGGTAAAATATTTCTCTCCACACAGGCATTATATTAACCAGCTTCTTAAAAACCATGACCAAAATTATCCTGATATTTGGTGTTTCTCTGGTTTTTTTTGTTTTTTTGTTTTTTTTTTGATGATCTGTCTCTCCTTTCTTTCTCTGTCTTCAATGAGCAGATAGAGTAATACTGTATTGCAGAAGGTGATTGGATTTTTTTTCCTGTGTATTATATCAATTTTGATTTGTATTTGGCCAATAGTATGATATATTAAATAGCTTATATTTGTCTATGGGTGTTTCATATATCTATTTCTTAATGCTGAGAATCACAAATAGCTGTGTAGAAAGCTTCAACCAGCCTGATTACAGTGGATGTGCAATTGGATTGAGGAATGTGTACTCAGAGCTTATGATCACTGGCCCGGTTGAGTCTGGGTGATGCATGTGGCTTTCCAGGGATGCTGCTATTTACATCTGTTAATGGCCCTTCTTGATGGCTGGTTCCCCAATGAGGTGATATGCAGCAGCCTGGGGATGAGGGACCAAGGCTGCAGATGTGGCTGGGCTCCATTAGGCAGGACCAGGAATGCTCATCTGGTAGGCTTTGTGTTTGGAGGCAAGAGGAGGGGATCTGAAGGGGCAGAGGGGAAGGCAGAAAGAAACAGGAAAAAAAGAATGGAAAACATTACTTATCTAGGTATGGAGAAAGAGACAGGCAGACATGAAAAACTGCAGCTGTAACGGGCATGAGTGAATAGAAAAGAAATGGAACTAGCGAATAAACAAGTAGAAGGATTGACTAGTTCTCATATGGAAGGGGATTAAAAGAGGAGAGGGCTGTGAGGGTTTGGGAAGAGACATGTCACCCCTGCCTTTTAAGTCAATATCATTTATTTGTGTGGCTGGTCAGATGCTGCTGAACAGAGAGCAGAGATTTACATATATCATAGTGCAGCAAGAGATTAGTTCCTTGAATCCTTTGGTTTTCTGGTTCTGGGAGAAGACAGCAAGAAATGCTCAAGAGGATGCAATGTTGAGCTATAGTAAATTCTTGCAGAAATGGAAGATACTTGAAGCAAGCCAATAAAGAATGTTGCCAATTTTCCTGTCAAAAGCTAGAGGACAAGGAAAAGACTCAGGATCACAAAAGTTATGCAGTTCGCAAGAAGTGAGCCCCTGTCTGCTCTCCTCTCATGTGTTAAATGTTTCTTGGAAAGAATCTCACAAATGAACTCGTATCTTAGTTGATAAGATAGTAAATTAGGGAGTTCTGGATTTAGTTCCCAGTACCATGGACTTCTTCCACACATATTCTGAGTGCATTTAGATTTTTGTTTTTCCATCTTCTTTGAGCAGGCTCAAAGAAGGAATTGAGAGAACTGTGAAATACGTAGTAAACCAGCTGTTCTCAGCATAATCTAGGGAAGTATGCCAGAATGTTTGTTCTAGTTTCCCACAGAGACCTTGGCTCTTTAGCAATACATAGGTACAATCTAATACCTTTAAGGAACCTGAAAAACAATTTTGCATGTAAGCTTGTATTTATTTGTTTGTTTGTTTATGCCTTTGCAGATTGGCATGGTAGCTTGGAAAATGACCCTTAAAAGTCCTGAATATCCAGAAGGCCGAGATATCATTGTTATTGGCAATGATATCACATACCGAATTGGGTCCTTTGGGCCCCAGGAGGATTTGCTGTTTCTCAGAGCTTCTGAGCTTGCCAGAGCAGAGGGCATCCCCCGCATCTTCGTAGCAGCTAACAGTGGAGCAAGAATTGGACTGGCAGAGGAAATTCGTCATATGTTTCACGTGGCCTGGGTAGATCCTGAGGATCCTTACAAGGTACAGACTATGAAAAGATAATTCTTCAAAATACTAGGTGGTTATGCACGTGTGTGTGTGTGTACATGTGTAGAGAGGTGGGGGAGAGGTAGAGGTTTAAGTTCAAAAGTCAGCACTTAGTGGTGAACCACAACCATTCCAGAAACAAATTGTCTCTTCAATATGTTCACCTGGTTTTTCCTTCAGCTCTGAAATAGGTTACTGTTTCTTTGGTTGAACACTAGATAAAAAAGTTGGTATGCATTTAGTGTGAGACATGCTAAGCCAAAAATATATATCTTTAAACTATTCTACTGTGGCTCCCAGAACTTATGGTGAATCATCAGCAAAATCCCTTATATCCTCAGCTGCTTCTCTGTCTGTTCTCCAGCCTTCTTGTTCTACTTGAAACCAGCCTGTCCTTTAAAGACATTGCTTTCCCTGTAACCCTCTTAAGTAGTGACTAAGTTCTCTCTTTCCCTGTGCCACTGAGCCTGGAGGGGGAATAGTGTCTTCCTTGTGCCTTGTTGCTACTTCCAGACTCTTTTCCTCCCTTTTCTCTAAAAACCCCCATCTTTGAATCTCATGTCAACAGACTGTGCCACATCACTACTGCTCCTTATTGTAGTGTTCCCTGACCCTTTGGTCACTCCTCATTCTTTGCATCTTTTAGTTGCTGGCACATTGTCACTGTCTACAATGCTATTAGTCCTGTTATAGTTCTTGCTGACTGTTTATAACTACATAGAATCCATCCCATAATCTAGCCTCTTGGATCCTTGACTTCCTCTCCTATGATAGTCCTATCCTTCCTACACCCCAGCTCAGCCTCTCCTTCCTTATAATCTCAATTTCAGGCATCCCTTTCTTTGCTACTTCTCCATCCTGTCTTTCCAGCTCACTCTGTTTAGTACCCCAAGCCCAACAATTCTTTGAACACACCAGGACCTACAATTGTTGATCCTGCCACCTTTCTTTTGCTCTTTGCTGTCTCCTCACTTCCTCATTTCATTCCTATCCAGCTTAAATTCAAGGTCAATCAAAGGTTAATTGTTATAATCACCACCTTTCCTGTTGCCTCAATTTTTTTGCTTCTCTCTTCATTCTCCTTACTCTGTGCCTCTACAAAAACCTTGTTTGAATCTAACTCTCTCCGTCTACTCCTATACCTGTACCTACATAGCTGAACATTGATGGAGAAAAATACATAGTGCTTTTGACTGGTCTTACTTTAAATTCAAGCTTCCTAATCTCCTGAATGACAGTTTTACATCTTCTCCCCTCTCCTCAAACCTCTAACACCCTCTTTCCTCTTCTTCACTCTTAGCTGATGACCCTGCTTCCCAATTCACTGAGAACAGAAGCAATTCAAAGAGAGCTTCCACGAGCTCCCACACATCTGTATCTGTGTCCTTACTCTGCCATCTCTCCCATACTTTGGGTGAACAGTCACTACTCCTGTCTAAGGCCCTTTCCTCCCCTTGTCCACTTGATCCTTTCCCCTCTTGCCAACAAAAGAATGTAGATCAGTACTTCTCCCCACTCTTTCTTGCATCGTCACTTTTTCCCTCTCTGCTGGATCTACCCCTTTAGCATACAGACGCTTAACCCTCCAGTCACGACCCCTGCCCCATTTTTTCCATCTTTTTACAGCAAAACTTAAAAGAGTTGTCTCTTTTTGCTGTCTCCAGATACTCTTCTCCCATTCTCTCTGGAACCCCCTTCAGTTAAACTTGGACCCTCACCTTCCACTATAGCTGCTTTTGTCAAGGTTGCTATTGATTACATATTGTTAAATTCTGTCGTGAATCTCAGTCTTCATCTTAGTTATTTGATGTTTTAGCAGCATTTGACACAGTTGGTCACTCCTTCATCCTTGAAATACTTTCTTCTCTTGGTTTCCAGGACCCTGGAGTCTCCTTTTTACCCTCCTAGCTGCTCTTTCTCAGTTTCCTTTGCTGCCTTTCACATCTTTAAATAGAAGAGTGTTTCAGGGGATGATGGAAATATTCTGTATTTTGATTGTGGTAGTGAATTACATAAGTATGTATATTTGTCAGAACTCATCAAACTACCACACTTAAAACTGATTAGTTTTATTGCACATAAATTATACTTCAGTAAAATTCATTTTAAAAGTTCCTGGAAATTTTTGGTGACCACTAGCAAGTACAGAGTTTCTTTTTAGAGTGATGGAAAAGTCTTGGAATTAGATAGCGGTGATGGTTGCACTTCTGAAAATACTAAAAACTACTGAATTGTACACTTTAAAATGGCCAGTTTCAGGGGCTGGCCCAGTGGCGCAGCAGTTAAGTTCACACGTTCTGCTTCTCAGCGGCCCGGGGTTCACCGGTTCAGAACCTGGGTGCGGACATGGCACCACTTGGCAAGCCATACTGTGGTAGGCATCCCACATATAAAGTAGAGGAAGATGGGCATGGATATTAGCTCAGGGCCAGGCTTCCTCAGCAAAAAGAGGAGGGTTGGCGGCAAATGTTAGCTTAGGGCTAAACTTCCTAAAAAAAAAAAATGGCCAGTTTTATATTATGTGAATTTTATCTCAATTTAAAAACATTATCAAAAAAAGTGAAGGGAGGCAGATGTCAGGACCACAGAGACTATGATAGGACCAAGAAGTCCTGGACTTCCCAGTTTCAACCCCACCAGGCCCAGTGCCCTCTCACCTGGTGCTTTGGCAAGATAGCCTGTATAGAAGGTGGAAGAGAAGGAAAACAAGTGTTTCAGGACTTGGTCCCTGGACCTCTCCTCTCTTCTATATTCACTTTCCCTTGGTGATCTCATCCAGTCTTTTTTTTTTTTAAGCAACTGTTCTTTTCTTTTTTTCTTAAAGATTGGCACCTGAGCTAACATCTGTTGCCAATCTTCTTTTTTCTTCTTCTTCTTCTCCCCAAAGCCCCCCAGTACATAGTTGTATACTGTAGTTGTAGGTCCCTCTGGTTGTGCTATGTGGAGTGCCGCCTAAGCATGGCCTGACAGGTGGTGCCATGCCTGCATCCAGGATGTGAACCGGAGAAACCCTGGACCACCAAAGAGGAGTGTGTGAGCTTAACCATTTGGCCATGGTGCTGGCCCCTCATCCAGTCTTAAAGATGTAAATTCCGTCTGTAAACTGATAAACTTCCAAATTTATATCCTCCCCCAAACCTCAAATTCATTTTTCCAGACTCACTGTCTCTACTTACATGTCTGCCCAAATGTAGCTTCTAATCTTCTTCTGTAAATTTGTTTTCTCTATCTCAATAAATGGTACCTCTGTTCTTCCATTTAAGTAAAAGTCCTTGGAGTTGTCCCTGACTTCTCTTTCTCTCTCATGTCCCACATCCTCTCTGTCAGTAAATCATGTTTACATCTCGACCTTCAAAATATATCCAGAATCCAACCGCTTCTAACCACTTCCACTGCTACACAGTATTCAAAGTCACTGTCATCTCTTACCTCCATTATTGCAGTAGCTTCCTAATTGACCTTCCTGCTTTTGACCTTACCCCTACCTAAAGCCTACTCTCACAGAAAGTGGAATGGTCCAGTTAAAATATAAATCACGTCATGGCTCAAAACTTTCCTCTGATTAAAACCCTTTAATTGCGTCCCAGTTCACCCAAGAAAGGGCCAAAACCCATATGGTTATCAATAAGATCCTACAAAGATTGGCCTTCCAGCACTTCTCTGCCTTCATTTCTTGCTGCAGCCTGCCTCATTCCACACTATGGCTCTACTGGCCTCCTTACTCGTTCTTAAACCTGCTGGGCAGTCATGCCTCAGCGCTTTTGAACTTGTGGTTCCTTCTGTCTAGAATGCTTTTCCCCCACATATCCTCATGTTTTATTTCCTCAGCTCTTCAGGTCTTTACTCAAATGACATTTTCAATGAAGCCTTCCCTGGCTGTTCTTTCTAAAAGTTCAACTCTCCCAACTCTCCTGTCTCCCTTCTCTATTTATTTTTTCCTTAAACATTATTCCCATTAACATTATATATTTTACCTATTAATTTTGTATATTTTCTGTCTCTCTTACTAGAAGATAAGTTCTCTAAGTTCTGTTTTGTTCCTTCCTGTTTCTCCAGTGCATTGAACAGTACCTTGCACGTAATAGGCACTCAGTAAGTTTGTGTTAACTGACATACTACTGACACTTAGTGGTTCTCATCATAAGTCATGTAAAATCGATAGCAGATTCATGTCTGTTCCAACATGTTGTGCTCACTGTGGGACAAATTCATTGAGTTAAATGGTGGGCTTGATTTCTCATAGTATTTAAAATGTTTTCCTCTGTTTACTTTTTTTTTTGGCTGAGGGACTAATTCACTTAAGTTAAACACACGTATACATAACTCTATATGTGAGTGGGTATATGTATATATAAAAATCAGTTATGAAATGTTAGTATAATTTTTTAATGTAAATAGGTATTAGGAGTATACTTTAAAAAAAGCTAAAGGCATGAGTTCAGTGTTCACTGATCATTAACACTGCATAGACTTCTGATTTTAATATTGAATATCCCAGTTTTGTGATCCTCTCAATTGTCCCTTACCCATTTATATGTATATATTTATTTATTTTTTTTCTTTATGAGGAAGATTAGCCCTGAGCTAACTGCTACCAATGCTCCTTTTTGCTGAGGAAGACTGGCCCTGAGCTAACATCCGTGCCCATCTTCCTCTACTTTATATGTGGGACGCCTACCACAGCATGGCTGGCCAAGTGATGCCATGTCTGCACCCAGGATGTGAACTGGCAAACCCCGGGCCTCCGAAGTGGAACATGCACACTTCACCACTGCACCAGCAGGCCGGCCCCTCAATTTTCCCTTGCCCATTTATATTTTTATGATACTATGGATTTGAAAAATGCAGAATAGTAATTCACACAGTCCTTTAATTTTGTGTTGATATCTTTAATAGAGCTATCACTAAAGATCGAAAATGACCCTTAACCCTGATGAAAATGAAATGAATGAAATATACTTGGAGTTGCAGCTATAAGATATCTATTTTAAGGACAGTCAGTCAGTGATTGGAGAAATAGGCACGTCCGTCTTTCAAAGGAGAACTATCTATGCTCGTGTTCTATTAGACAGTAACTCTAGGAAGTGATGTGGCAATTTAAACCTAGCTTTGGAACAAGCTGCATTCCGCATGCTTTTCTGTGTCTTCTGATTATGTAACGATGGCGAATAATGAGTTAGAAATGATTTGTGCTTCACAGGGATACAAATATTTATATCTGACCCCTCAAGATTATAAGAGAGTCAGTGCTCTCAACTCTGTGCATTGTGAACATGTGGAGGATGAAGGAGAATCCAGGTAGGTATATATTTATCAGAATAACTTGGCCATGGATTAAAGAAAGGAGAATATGATAGTTTTTTCCTCACTGTCCCACTGATTGTGACCTTGAAGAGCAATAAAGATTGCTTATTACATAATCTAGAGGTCTTAGGTTTGTGTCTTAGCTCTACCACTTATTAACTGAAAGATATTATTATTGATTGAGGTTTTTAAGTTATAAATATTTATTCATTTTAGAAAAGTTAGGACATGTAAACAATTATGTAGAAAAAATAAAAATTAGCTACAATCTTACCAAGAGATCACAATTGTTAATGTATATTATATTCTTGCTGACTTTTCTGTATTTATACACCGTTATTTGTACATAATTGGGATTGTAATAGAAAAACTTTTGTAATTGGTTTTTTTTCACTAAAATCTGTTTGGGAGAAGTTTTGTACATTCTTAAAATATCATTTGAGAATATGATGTTTAATGGCTTTATAGTATTTTATCTTAATGGATATATCATATTTGAACGTTCAGACCATTACAGTTTTTTACTGTTTTATCCCTGGGCTGAGCGTTCTTTTATGTAAATTTCTAGGAATATTTCTAATTATTCCCTTTGGGTTAATTTCTAAAAGTGGAATTACTGGTCAAAAAGTTTGTCTATTTTTAAGATTTTTTTGACATTTTCAAATTGCCCTCCCAGGATCTGCACCCCCACCAGCAATACGTGATTGTGCTTGTTTCCCCTCTTTAATTTTTCTCCACCCTTGCCAACACTGATTATTGTCAATTAATAAAATAGGATAGAAATAGCAATTGTTATTTTAACGGGTATTTTTGATTACCAGTGAAGTTGAACATTTTTATAATCTATCTGCAAGTATTTTCCAGAATGTTAATCAGTGGCTCCTGTACCATTTATTGAATAATTCATACTTTCCTCCCTTTTCTAATAATCTTAACTCAGTTACTAGGCTTTGTATTCTGTCTTTTGTTCTGTCTGTCTATGCGTGGGCTAATGCCACACTTTTTTCACTATTCTAGTCGGGCAGATTTCCTCACATTCTTAATTTTTCCCCAAGTTTTGTTAGCTACTTTGTCTTTTTATATATAGGCTCACTTTTTTAATTCCCAAAAACTTTCCGTACTGATTTGATTCAGAATGCGTTGGGTTTATAAATTAATTTAGGAAGATCTGACATCTTCATAATATTAACTCTTCCCAACAAGAAACAGTGTTTTTCCATTTATTCAAGTGTATATTTAAATTTTATGGTGTTCTTCCTGTAGGTTATGCCAGAAGTTCCAAGTCTTTCTTGATTCACAGCACTCTTACTGTCTCAGTAATTTTTTCATAGTGCCTTTAGGCTAAAAGATATACCTAATATTTCTGTTTATTAACTAGTCAGACCTAAACAACTTCATAAGTATTTATGCCCTAACAACTTAATCATGTGAAAACTTAATACACATAAATTGAAATTTTTTTTCATGTTTAGTAATTAGAGTTACTTACTAATGGGATATTTGCATCTGAACATCTCAAACCTTGCAGTCAGCTTGGATATGGCCACACTTGTTTCATGTTCTGCAATGATTCTGTGCAGAACATTTTTTGTTTTTTGTTTTTTTCGCAGAAACCAGGAAAACCCATCTTTGCAAAGATAGGGCATTGTCAAAAGGAATGTAGCACTAATATTAAACTGTGAACTAGTAGTTCACATGGGATGCAACAGGTATCACATATCATAATATTTCTCTCAAAAATTTAAAATATCCTACACTGCCCCTGGCAGTTCACTGTGGCATCCCAGGGCACCTTGGTGCCCAGTGTGGGTATAGTGGGATTTTATAAATTTTTTAATGTTTATTGCTAAATATTTTGCATTTTTTCTTGCTGTTCTGATTGGGCTCCCCCCCATTGTATTTTTTAACTCTTTGTTACTGGTATCTTAGAAAGCTATTGATTTTTGTGTATTGCTTTTGTTAAAGCAAGTCATTTTTCTCCTCTGAGCCTTAGTTTCTTCATCTGTAAGATGAAGATCAAGTAAACTGATATATGTAAAGCTCTTAGCCTAGTGCTGAGCTCATAGTAAGCAGTCAAAAATCCTGGATATTATTATTATTATCTAATAATGGAGGTGATACTACCTATCACATTGGATTGTTGTGAGGATCAAAAATAATATATATGAATGTGTTTTGTTAATTGTATTACACTATACAAAGGTTTTTATTATAAATAACAGTAAAATTTGGTACTGCTTTAAAGGATGATAGTCTTAGTGGTGGAAGACACAGATCATAGAGCAGAAAATGGGAAATTTTTCCTCTTTTTTGAGTAATACAGTGGGAGAAGATACCACTTTAACAAATCGTGAACACCTGTGAAGCGACAGGTACTCCTTAAGAGGGAAAAGATCTGCGTTGCAGGCAGGGCTGACTAGGCCCATGAGTGTTTGTGACTATATGGCATGCGGGCCTTATAAAAGGAACACATTACCCTCCCCTCAAATTAATGTGGCTCATTAACCCCTTAAGAGAGATTAGCTTTACCTGTAACATAACTCTAGAATCTAGAGTCTAGATACAAAGCAAAGGGAAGAATTGGGGAATTATTGGGAGAGGCTGCAAATAGAAAGGCAAGGGAATCTGAGACCTGGCAAGGGAAGCTGCAGACCAACAGCAAGGGCAAAGGAAAGGACCTGATGGTGGGCTGGAAGTAAAGAAGGGAACAGAGAAATATGGGGGCAAAAAAAGTAGTTTAAGAACCACTATGGTATACTTACTTATTATTTCAATTTAGAAAACTGTGCCCAGTACCAAGTTTTCTGAGTACACATGGAACAATAAATAATATATGCCCATCTCTACTTCCAACTTTGTATTCTTCCTTTCTTTTATTAGTTACATTCCCCATCTCCCATTTCCCATTATCAGCTGTCACTCCTAATGCCCTGCCAAGAAGACAGATGAGTGGCTCCCGCTGGATCCACAGGATGCTTTCTGGACAACTTGGCCAGCTTTTCCTTTCTACACGCATTCCACTTACCCCTGCAGAGGACTATAGCCAGGAACCCTTGTGTATACATTTGATATTTACAAAGGAGCCGGAATGGGAATGCACTGTTTTGACCTTCTCCTTCATCCCTGTCTTGAAAGAGAGGATTTTTGACTTGAGAAATTGAGCTAAGCAGTCTCACTATGCCTCTGGATTTTTATTCCTATGTAACATTTTCTAAAATTGTTGATTTAATGGCTACTGCTTAATGTAAGGAGATATATGCTGGCCCTGCTTTTAACAAACTTGTTATAGAGAGTAAGAGAAGGTATCTAAAATCTGAGCACCTTCTATGTGTCAGGGCCTCTCCTTGTTGCTTTAATTTAAGTCTCACGTCAACCCCTAGAGGTAGATACTATTATCCCCACTTTACAGAAGTTACAGTTATCCCCAATCACACTGAGCTGGGATTGAAACTTATTTACTTAATTCCAGATTTTGCTCTTTGTGCTATACCATATTACTTCCAGACAAAATAGGCACCAAGCTAAGAGGAAAGGTACAAGAATCAAGAGTATAAGAAGAGCATAGAGCCCTGGTATTAAGTATAAGCTTTTAGTATGCTTTTAGCAGGCTTTTAATGGTGATTATTCTTTTAACAGATTGTGACTGTTTTTAGCCTTTGTAATTTGGCATGTCTGTATCCAATAGGTACAAGATAACCGATATTATTGGGAAAGAAGAGGGACTTGGAGTAGAGAACCTTCGAAGTTCTGGAATGATTGCAGGAGAATCCTCATTGGCCTATGATGAGATCATCACCATCAGCCTGGTAAATCTTGCCAGAATATGAAACTTTTTTGTTTTGTTTTGTTGTTTGGTTTTGGATGTGTTTTTGTTTGTTTGGTTGTTTTTTTTTTTTTTTGTGAGGAACATTGGCCCTGAGCTAACATCTGCCGCCAATCGTCGTCTTTTTGCTTGAGGAAGATGGTCTCTGAGCTAACAGCCGTGCCAGTCTTCCTCTCCTTTGTATATGGGATGCTGCCACATCATGGCTTGATGAGTGGCATGTAGGTCTGTACCCAGGATCCAAACCTGCGAATCTTGGGCCACCAAAGCGGAGCACACGAACTTAACCACTATGCCACTGGGCCAGCCCCCAGAATATGAAACTTTTGAAAAGCTGACTGGCTAGGATTTGTTTTTGCCCTCATCACTGCTATTCAGTCCCAAATGAGAGCATTTCTTAAAAATTGTATACCTACAATTTGGTTTTAATTGTGCATAATAATGGGAAGATAGGATAATATAATTGAATTTCTCAGATAAACCTAGCACCTCATTTTAGCTTTTAGTTTAACTTCTTATTTCTCTAAATATTCTACTAGAGTTTTGACAGCTTGAATTTCTTCTCTTACTGCTTTCCTAGTTTATACCTCTAGTGTAGATGCCAAACACCTGTGAAGTGGGCAAAAGTATAAGAGAAGTGAAGGGTCTGTGATCTTTTAAGTGTCTAATACTTAAATCATTGAATACTTAAATCTTTTCTTTGACCAGGAAATTGTTTTCTTGTATTGTTATTAGTCACACAGGCTTCATAAAAAGCAATATTCTGTTAATGTGGATTTTATATATCTGTGTCTTAGTTCTTACAGCTTGGGAGGTGACATAAATATGTGACATGCAGAATTTCTTCTTTTTTAAGGTTACGTGCCGGGCCATTGGGATTGGGGCTTACCTTGTCCGGCTGGGACAGAGAACCATCCAGGTTGAAAACTCTCACTTAATTCTGACAGGAGCTGCCGCCCTCAACAAAGTAAGTTCCTAGGGTTTGGGAGAGTGTATGAAACTGTTTGACAATTACTGTGAATCCTTAATTCAAGACCCTGATTGGGAGAAAGCCATTCAACCCATGCTTTCCTCAGTCTGTCTTTCCCCCTCTTCCTCCGTCTTCCCTGCCCATTGCCTAGCTTGCCTATTCATTCATTCATTTCATTCGACAAATATTCTGAGTACCTACTCAGAATACTCCACAGTGTGCCAGGCACTGTTCCAAGCCCTCTGGGTATGTTAATGAACAAACCATATAAAACTCCTGCTCCAAAGAGTTTACATTCTAGTATGTCTCTAGAAAGACAGGGACTTAATTGATTGCTTCTGTTCTGCCCTCCTTCTCTTTTTCTCATCTGTGAGTAAGAGATATAAGGAGATCTATTCCCAGATGTGGAGCTGTCTCTGAAACATCCTGTGAACATGTTGAGGATAGTAAGTTTTAATGTTTTGAGGAATCTTTGAATATTCCTCTAAAAAAGGGCATTTATGGTGGCCCCTTGTACATAGAGGAAGTACTTGGTAAATATTGAATGGAAAGATGGGTGGATGGATGCATGGATGAATTGCTGGGAAAATGTATGACATAGAGATTTATCTTCCCTTCAAAAGAAAGGCTTGTGCCTTTTCAGTCTAAGCTTATAGGGACTTTTCCAAAGGAAAAAGAAAATGGATGGTGAGGTCACTGCTTATAAGAATGAAAACTATCTAAGAATACCTGAATATACAAAGAGCAATGTAGTTCTGACTTCTTTGCAGGCATAGGGAAGTTATTTTCTCTCCAGAGCCAAGAATATGTAATAGTCTGGGGCTGGCTAGCTGACCTTGTGCAACTCTTATAACCTCTCAGCTCCTCAGTTTTCTTTACACCTTTAAATGATAGTGTGGAGACCAACTGAGAACACATAAGTAAAAGTACTTAGTACTTGGCACAAAGTGTTGGCCCTCATTACAATTCCAGTTCCCTTTTCCTCTCTTAAATGGTTTGCTGATTGAGCTTGTAGAGTTATACACATGCCAAATTGTATTGGATATTGTGTTTACTAGACTTGCACAACCTCTTCATCAAGCCTTAACTTTCAATTGGAAGGATAGGAATTTAGTGTCCTATTCTATCATTCCCATTTAGAAAAAGTTGATACTTCTGTTGGTCCAGGTAGCTTTTGGGGATGTCAGAAATGAGGAGAATTGTTTGATGGGATTAGCTTGCTCTCTGCATTCATATGAACTCTGTGTCCTTCTCTGGACTTGCTTTTCTCTCCAGGGAAAGGCGAAGAAGCAGTGGTAACAATGGCAAACTTGGGTATCCTGCTCCCTTTTTGGAGGGTAGCCTAGAAATAAAGATTGTGAACTACCACAGATTATTGCAATGGGAGAACCTACAGAGAGTCTTAAATTTTTTTTTTTTATTAAGGTTATAAAAGTTAACATCCTTGTAAAATTACAGTTGTACATTATTATTAGTCATGTTGTAGGTACACCACTTCACCCCTAGTGCCCTCCCCCCACCCCCCTTTCCCCTGGCAACCACCGATCAGTTCTCTTTGTCCGTATGTTAACTACCACCTATGAGTGGAGTCATACAGAGTTCGTCTTTCTCTGTCTGGCTTATTTCACTCAACATAATACTCTCAAGGTTTATCCATGTTGTTGTGAATGGGACAACTTTGTCCTTCTTTATGGCTGAGTAGTTTTCCATTGTATATATATACCACAACTTCTTTATCCAATCATCAGTTGCTGGGCACTTAGGTTGGTTCCATGACTTGGCTATTGTGAATAATGCTGCAATGAAGATAGGGGTGCATGGAGCTTCTGAAATTGCTGATTTCAGGTTCTTAGGATATATACCCAGTAGTGCGATGGCTGGGTCATAAGGTATTTCTATTCTTAACTTTTTGAGGAATCTCCATACTGTTTTCCATAGTGGCTGCACCAGTTTGCATTCCCACCAACAGTGTATGAGGGTTCCCTTTTCTCCACAGCCTCTCCAACATTTGTCACTCTTGGTTTTGGATATTTTTGCCATTGTAACAGGTGTAAGGTGATATCTTAGTGTAGTTTTGATTTGCATTTCCCTGATGATTAGTGATGATGAGCACCTTTTCATGTGTCTATTGGCCATCCGTATATCTTCTTTGGAGAAATGTCTGTTCATGTCCCCTGCCCATTTTGTAATTGGGTTATTTGATTTTTTATTGTTGAGTTGTGTGAGTTCTTTGTATATTATGGAGATTAACCCTTTGTCGGATAAATAACTTGTGAATATTTTTTCCCACTTAGTGGGCTGTTTTTTTGTTTCAATCCTATTTTCCCTTGCCTTGAAGAAGCTCTTTAGCCTGATGAAGTCCCATTTGTTTATTCTTTCTATTGTTTCCCTCATGTGAGGGGAGTCTTAAATTTTTTTTAAGTTGCTCTTTTGGATATCTTCTTAGGGTGAGATATTGATGAATGTTGAAGATAATTGTAGGTACCACTGTCTGTGAGGATACAATTTAAAGAAGACACCTGTATTTCCATAATGTTCCCGTACCTGGACAAAGAGCTAATTTCTGAAATGTATCTTGTTACAGTGAGTTTCTTATTTTCTCCCTGATACTATGTTGTATGCAAAGAATATTACAAAAAACAAAGGTTTTGTTGTTGCTGCTGCTGCTGGTTTTTTTGTTTTTTACCTAAAACCTTAGTAGTTGAATTTTATTTATTGCCATAAAGAAAGCATTGGAGATTTTTTCCCTTAAAATCTGGTTGAATTGTTCTGATCAAATTCATTATGTTCACCTTCTTCCTAGCCTACAGGGCTGCTTGTTAAACGAGAAGTCTAGGGGGCCGGCCCCCTGGCCGAGTGGTTAAGTTTGCGCGCTCGGCTTCGGCGACCTAGGGTTCTGCCAGTTCGGATCCTGGGCACAGACATGGCACTGCTCATCAAACCATACTGAGGCAGCATCCCACATGCCACAACTAGAAGGACCCACAACTAAAAATATACATCTATGTACCGGGGGGCTTTGGGGAGAAAAAGGAAAAATAAAATCTTTGGGGAAAAAAAAGAGGGAGAGAAGTCTAGTTGCAGGGAAAAGGCAAGTAAAGCTGCAGCTGTAACTTGCGAAACAATGCTCATCTTCAGAAAGACATGATCATTTGTAGCTGAAGGGAGTGATCAGTTATAGAGGTTACCTAATCCTGCTCTGCCTGTTTCACTATCTTCATGTCAGTGCCTCTTAAGTATAATATTGCTGGAAGATACCCAATTTCATGCAAATTCATTAAGAATCCTGTATGCCCCTTTGCCTATCAGGTATGAAAAAGGAAATTATACAGGGAGCTACATGCTCAGATTGCTTCCTCCGACTCGCTCCTTGTGCATGTTCTGTCTTTGTGTGTCCTGGTGTCTTTCTACATCTCTGTTTGCCTTTTTCTCTATGGGATCTCTGTCTTGCATACTGTGAGTGTGTGCAGGTCACTGTGAGTGCACGTCTCTTCCTGTGTGAGTGCTGGTCTCTCTGTCTCTTTGTGTCTGTGCCCTCTAGATCCTTCTCTTTCTCTGTCTTTGTGCCTCCCTGAGTGTCCATGTGTGAGAAAGTCTTTGTGTGTGTCTGAAACACTGTAGAGCCTCCTTAAGCCTTGACCATTTTGCTTCTAGTATGTGTGTACCTGCATAAAGTGGAAACGTAGGCAGTATATGCAAGCTTTTAGACTGTAAACGTTTGACCCCCACCTTTTTGAGTCTTCATTCTTTATGTTAAACATTGGGGTGAAGAATAAGAAAGGAACGGGTGTGCAGAGGTTGTAGGGAAAAAAAAATCTGTGTGTGCAAGTGCCGATCCCGTTGACCCCTTTGAAAATTGAAATAATGATAATGCGCGTCTCCTGACTGCATCAAAGTATCAGCACATCAAAAGCCAGGAGGCATGAAATGCAAATGATAAAGTGAAAGCAGATGGATTGTGCATGATCGCCTGATGCCCAATGAATTTTAAAAGGTGCCGGTTTGCAAGGGGGGTGGGTGGGGGGTGGAGATGGGGGGCTGAAATAAACACGTTATCCCTGCAATTTTTTTTTGTTCTTGACGCTCACTCCTGACAATATTTTTTCACACTTGAGTGAACACCCACTCCATCTCTCTCTCCCCTTCTCCCTCTCCATCTCTCTTTCTCTCTCTCTTTCTCTCTCCTCTCCAACTCCCCCCACCCCCCGCCCCCTTACACGTCTCAGGTCATGTCGCTGCAGCTCCGGTGGAAATAATAAGATATAAACCACGAGGTTGTTATTTGCATAGAAATAGCATGGAGCCCCAGGCAGCAAGGGAGAAGGACACAGGGATCATTTGTCTAAAATTTTAATGAAAAGTTTTGCTGAGGCAGAGATTTTTAAAAAACTTCTTTCTACCTGCTTTTCTCCTTCCCGCCCCACTCCCCCAAACCCCATCTCTGATTTGACTTAACATGGTTCGATTTGAAGAAAAGGGTTGACACTCCACATATCCTACTCCTGTAATGCAGCAACATGTAAATTGTTCCTTTAATAGATATGAAGCTGGAGAGAGACACGTTCCCAACTTAATACATTGCATGTATGCATCAAGCTTTTATGGCTACACTCCATCTCAGCGCACACGTGATGTTGCCTGTCATTAGCTGAACTGTTTTTAATTAGTTTAGACCTTCCTACCTTTTGCTTCCAAAGACTCTTCCTTTTAAGAATTTCTTTCTATAGCCAATGGTAGTAACCTGCACATAAATATTCCAGTGGTTTCCTATTTTTTATTTTCAGTGGTTTAAGTATTACCAAGTTGAGAAGAGATACAGTATCTGGCTTTTCTTGAGTATTGCAGAAGCAGACCTGACATTTGAACTAAAGGCAATGGGCTGGTGATTAGAGGCAGTCTGGATGATTGTATTTGAAACTTAAAATCAGGAACATCTGTCTGGCTGCTTGCTACTTTCTGGGCTAGGCTAGTAGTGTCAGGGCCACTTTACAGGTGGG